CCAGGCTCCAGAACAGTAATCCCATCTTTCAGCTTCACTTCTATTCTCGTCTCGGCCCGCTGATCCCGTCTATTGTCTCTGACGTGTGATGTCACTTCGCGTGCCGTTGCCATGTGGTCACCGTGGGGGTATTTCTCAGCCAATGACGTCGCAGCTTCATAATTCACATGTATGCAGCAAGTGATTACAGAGCAGCCATGCTTGTCCCTGACACACATATCTGCTCGTCTATTATCAGGCGTGAAGCAAAAAGAAGCCTGTCATTACTGCAGAGTTGTTTTTTCAGCGTGGACGTGATTCACATGTTCAATCGACTCAGAAGTCAGAACGAGAGTCGCCAGCAGGAAGCTGGAAAAACAATAAACGGCGTCATTAAGATCACACGGCGTGGTGTGCAGTCTGTTTCTTCTGCAGAGATTTATGACAAAAACGGATAAATCATGAATTAGAAGACCCTCCTCTGAAGCCACATGTGTTGTTATTATATGAAATGATGTTCAGACCACAGCGGCTCTGACTGAACCACAGCCTCAGACAGTTCGGCACCACTCAGCAAACTCATCGGGTTCTTGTCACAGACGATTAATTTGATTCATTCGCACATTTCTGCAGATAATCCTTTTATTACACTTACTGCTAATTGGACTGTTTTTGTTGTTTTTTTAAAACTTTTTAAATCCACATTTTACTGTTATGTACTTAAACACCAGGTCAAATCCCTTGCATGCAAGAATCAATTATTATTATTATTAGTCTTATTATTATTACCTTCTATTTCTAATCTATTTGATTTTTTAAACTTTTTTATTTTGTTTGTTTTATTCTCTTTGACACTTTAATACTTTATTTATTTATTTTTGTTGATTATTCTTATTATTTTTTTAGTCCATTTTGCTTGTGTTTGATTTTTTTAAAACATTTTTTATTTCATTCTCTTCTATTCTTTATTTATTTATTTTTGTTGATTATTCTTATTATTTTTTTAGTCCATTTTGCTTGTGTTTATATTTTTTAAAACATTTTTTATTCTCTTTACTATTTGATCAGATCAAAAAGAAATTTAAAAAAATGCACATCAATCAAGAGCTCGGTTCTTAAGATGTTTATCTGCTCACATTACTACTTACTCTAGTAATATTTATGTATTATTTTGGTTGTGTGGCAAGAAAATGAAGTATGTTCTACAGGTTTGGATGTGTTTAAGATTCAACTCTGAACTCTCAATGTAAGTTAACAGTGTATGAAATGTTAAAGACAATTAACCAGAAAAATGTGATTTAAAACAAAAGTAGGTGTTGCTGGCTTATGCATCAGGTTTTCTTTAAAAATTAAATAACTGTATTTCTTATATATTTCTTTCAAAGGGGGAGAGTATAAACCTTCCCATACAGTATTCACCTTTTAATTTATGACTGTGGCTTATTTACTCATGACTTATTGTTATGAAGTAGAAGTATCATCCATGTAGGAAAATCTGCTTTTTATACCTTAATTTGGGGGTATAGTCACTAAGCTTTTGAGAAAAGCAGTTTAACAGACACCTAAACTATTAATTTACTATAAAGCAAAAGAAGCTCAGGTGACACTTTTCTCTGGGTTCATCACCATAAACCACTTCTGTGACATTGTTTCACGTTATTTAACACACATCTCTTTAAAAAGATAGACTTTAAGCACTTTGTTTAAAGTTTAAGAACCACAATTACTGTTCTAATATTAATTCATACTGCAGCTTCTTGTTTTTCTCCTGCAAACTGAGGACCTGATGTGAGACATACTTTGACATTGAGAGATAAAAAACGTATGCCAATGCATATAACAACAAGTAAACTCACAAATGTGCAAAACAGCAAAAGATCGCTTCTGTAAATATGTCATAAATGTCCGAAAATGCGCACATATTTGTCAAAATGCGTGCTCTTGATCCAGGCTTCGCTGCTCTTGTTGTTTCCTCTGTAATTTGATAGCGAACCGTAATGTTTGTAATAAAGGCGCATACGGGAAAGTTCAGAAGGAATCTCTGCAGACTTAGTGGGACTCTCATACACACACACACACACCCCTCTCTGGCTGCGTGTGTGAGGTGCCACATCGAGAAGTGATCGGAAAATGAGCAGAATGCTGCCGATCCTGCTGCAGTTGTTCCTCGGTGCGTCCTGCGCTCCTCCACGGTGCGACCCGGGATATCGAGGTAAAGCTTGTCAAGTTTCATGTGATCACAGATTTTATGCTGAGGTGTGCAATCTGGACCTGTTGAATTTCTACATGGCATGTTTACATGTGTAAGATGTGGACTTTTCCACAAACCAGAAGCTCACTTTGATGCAACAAAACTCATGAAAACGACATGTATGTGACTTTTAAAGCCTCAAGATGATTATTACTATGATTCAATGTTGGTTTAATCAAGTCTTATATTATTATACTGTTATTTCAACTTCAGTGAATAAGCTGTGCAGTGCTGTGAAAGTCCTCTCATGACTTTGTAGACATTGTTTTATAAAGCAATTGATACTAGCAGCTGATCCAGTATTTCCTAGGCCACATTGAGGCATTTACAGAAACCACTCTGCCATCTAGTGTCTACCTCAGTGTCAAGCTAATAACATGCGGATGTGTCTTGCAGGACTGTGCAAGCCAACAGTGGAAGAAAAACGTAAGTAGGCTTGACGGAAGAACAGTGTCATGCATGTCATCCGGCTTGCCTCATGCCGCAGCAGCCGACCCACATGTCTGGGTTGCTCATTTGTAAATGGTATTTATTTATGTTTTTCTAACTCCTAAGCCTCAAACCAACCAATCTGTTGGGCCCGTGCCATCAGACAAACCTCAAGTATGCCCCCTTCACCCACTCCAACAGGTCAAACTCTTTCATAACAAACAGGATGAGATCACGAGTCGTACTGGGTGTAGTCTTTATAAAGAAAAGGCCCAACATCCATAAAGAGTATTTTTAGATGATCGATAGCAGCATGAAATATTCAAATTCTAATTTCCAGAGGTAATAGAAATATTTAGGAGTAGATAATTGAGGATGTGCACAGTGAGGCTCGTGATTTAGTGCCCTGACAGATGGAGATACATATCTTGTTCCTTGAAAATGAGGCTGTGCTAAAATTAGAGACTTTCTCATGCTTCTGCTGATGAATCTAAAGAATCATTTCATCTGTAAATGTTCCTAATCTGTCTGAATTTCTTCAGCCAAATGCACAGATCTGATGCTGTCCTACTGCGATGACATGGCCTACACTCAGACCTTGTACCCAAACAGCCTCGGTCACAAGACTCGTAGTGATGCTGAGGCCAGCACGGAGTACCTCCTTGTAAGTGTGATCGAATCGCTGCTCGGCGGAGAGTGCAACCCCGAGATACGCATGCTGGGCTGCTCGGTGTTGGCCCCGCGCTGCGAGAAGGCGAAGGTGCTGAAGCCGTGTCGCGTCACATGTGAAGCGGTGCAAAAAAAATGCGCTCACACTTTCGAGAGGATAGAGATGGCTTGGCCCTACTTCCTGGACTGCGATCGCTTCTTTGTGAGTGACGAAGAGGGATGCTATAACCCACTGGAGGGCCTCACAGGTGAGAAATACATGATGTCCCTGTTAGTGCTTGAAGTATTGGCTTTCACTGGAAGAGTGTTTCACAAAAGCAGTTCTTTTCCTAAACATGTTTTGTGAAGGATTCACACATGCTGATGTGGCTCACATCAAAACATAGTCCAAGTAGAACGCCTCTCCCCCCCTCACTTGAACTTGGTCCTGTGGCTATTTTCATGTGTTTTCATCAGCAGCGACTTAGCTTTTAAAAACAGCCCCTTAATTCATCACAGAAAGGCAAACAATGTCTGACAGTATTTTGCTAAAAACAGTCTTATAAGTGAAAAACATGTTTTTGCTGCCCCTGGCATCATGTGTAAGCCAGATGAGCGAGTGAGCAGTTGGAGCCTTTGTGCTGACAGAAGGAACTGACAGTCGTGTCATTTTTATCATGTGTGTTTCGTAAAATGTGTACAAGATCAGAAAAGTGCTTTATTCTAACAAAGGAGCACTGTAACAAAGTGAAGTGTTGCTGAGCAAGCAGGATTTGGTTCAGATGTCTGGCAGCATGTTAAAACTGTGTTGTTATTCTCATTTTTATGTTCAATGTGCAGCCTTGTTCTTCTTTTAGTGTATGTCAGATCTACTTCTGTGATACTGTGCTGCATATCTTTGAACATTTAGCGACATAAATTGGTGCATGAGGTGCAACGTTTCGCCTCATTAAATGTACATGCTGTTGTTTGGCAAGATAACTCAACGTTATTGTCTTCATGGAAACTGTCCAGACTTAGCATGTAGCCAGAAACTTATCTTTTATAAGTGTTGGTTCAGTGTTGGAACTCCACATGGCTATTGGGGGAGGTCACTTTTTTTTTGCACTTCTACTATAAAGCACTTTTATATATCATTATTCCCAGAATTAAGAATATGATTATAGGATGAAACTGATGAAAAGTAGCTGCTGCTGCCTTGTCAGCACCATGGAGGATTTGTTACTTTTCCCCATTTTGTTTTATGGAAGTTGGCATCAAGGAAGTATTTTTTTTTTCCAATCCTTGAGTTAGAATGAGTGGAATTTATGGTTTTATGCTGCCATGCTTCAATGTTGATGGAAAAAAATAGCATGCATGTTGGTATCTTTACTGAAGAGTCCAAATTATGCTCATTTACAGGTCTAGCCTTTTATTTTTTGGGGGGATCTACTGGAATAATACACACTGCTGCTGCACCTCTTCTCTCTGAAATGCTATGTTTGAGCCACTCTCTCTCCCAAATTGTTCAACTTTGTTTGAAGCTGTCCCTGACTAGCTGCTGGACAGGCATTCTGCAAATATGTTACATGAATGGAAACTCAGATGTCCCTGTTGGACTCAAAAGCATTTATCAGAACTGATAAGATGACATGTTTTTCTTCACAATAGAACAGGACGTACAGGACACTGACCCCATGGAAAATCCTTCGTATGAGCAGCCTGCTAACATGATACAGTTCACCTATCACTCCAACAGTCAGATGATCAGTGTCTTAAAGGACACTGAGAATCGCTGCTCTGACATAGCCAGGACCTACAGCATCGGCCGCAGTGTGGAGGGCAGGGAGCTGCTTGTCATTGAGTTCTCAAACAACCCCGGAGAACATGAACCTCGTAAGTACGAGCCATCAGCCTCTGTGTAAACTGCATCCTTTCCGCTTGCTAATGTAGCTGAAAATGAAATGTTGCCCTCTGTAGTTGAGCCAGAGATAAAGTACGTTGGCAACATGCACGGAGATGAAGTCCTGGGCCGCCAACTACTCATCTACTTGGCTCAGTACTTGTGCTCAGAGTACCTCGAGGGGAACGAGCGCATCCGGTCCCTCATCAACACCACTCGCATCCATATTCTGCCCTCCATGAATCCTGATGGGTATGAGTTGGCTGTCTCTGGGGTCAATGACAACAACTATGGTGGTGATGAAGAGGTGAGTTCTCCATAGTTACGCTCATTTACTTTTGTGCAGGGACATATTTCTTTAGCAAAAAATTTGCTTTTTTGTTCAATGTTAGATTTAAACAGTGTGTGAGTCAGGCTACAAGTGATTTTATTAACTTGTAGCATGAGTGTTGAGCACTTCCAAATGAAAAGCATGCATTTACAACACAATACAGAATGTTGTGTTCTATGCTTTAGCTCATTTTCAAAATGTAAATTTGAAATTTGGGGGTTTGGGGCTGTTGGTGAGTTGGTTCCTATTCAGGGAAAAGATCTGAGTGACTTTGACAGTCAGATTGTGATGCTTAGGTGAATGGCTCAGAGTTTATTTGTTAGATGTTCCTTGGCTACCAAAAGCAGCTTCCCTGTCCCTACCAAAAGTGGTGTGAGGACAACTTAAGGATAACTTGGGTAGAGACAGGATCATGGGTGCCTCAAGGCTCATTACGCATTCTAGCTTTCTGCTTATGGTTCTTCAGAGCCAGAGACAGGTTAGAATGACCATGCTGACCCTTATCCACCGCTACAATGGCCATATGAGCTTCACTGTGTAGAAGCCAGGAGGCAGTGTGATGCTCTGGGCTAATGATATGCTAGGTAACATGTTGGGTGCTGCATTCATGAGGATGTATGTGCGACAAGAACATCTTCACTTTCATTTGAATGGCATTCCCTCATGGCAGTTGTCTTTTTCAGCAGCATAATGTGTCCTGCCGCGCTGGGAAATTGTTCAGACATGGTTTAAAGAACATGACAGATAGTTCCAGGTATTGGCTTGGCCTCCAAACTCACCAGATCTCAATCTGATCAAGTAACTGAAAGAAGCTTATGTGTTGGAAAAACAAGTCAGATCTATGGACACCCCACTTCATAGCTAATAGCACTTGTTGCCTGATTCTATATCTTTAGAGGTTGTGAGTCCGTGCCTTGATGGGTGGCACAAGGAGCAACTACACAATATTCATTAGATGCTTCTATTGCTGTGGTTGATTGGTGCATATGGAACTATTGTGTTGCTTGTCCAGATATCTAACTTTGAATTAAATGCCATGAGTGAATATACCAGCAGTAAACCAGAATCAGCAGCAGTTTTTTTTAGTATGTTGTATTTTATATTAAATCATTCAAGTCATTACAGTTAGAGTAAATTACATTTTTGAAAATCTTCAGGATCAGAGATATGATTCTCGAAACATTGGCCGAAACAACGCCCAAAACATTGACCTGAACAGAAACTTCCCTGATTTGACGTCCGTCATTTACAGCAGACGCAGACAAAAGGGCTACCGCACTGACCACGTCCCAATCCCAGATTATTACTGGTTTGGTAAGGTACAGTATGAGTCTTTTTCCATACATGTCAGTGAATGCTATTTTGTGGTCAAGTAATATTAACGTCTTTATAATAATGAACCAAGTTAATAAGTCCTCATGCTGTAATCCAGGTTGCACCGGAGACGTATGCTGTCATGAAGTGGATCCGCTCCATCCCGTTTGTGCTCTCGGCTAGCTTTCACGGTGGGGATCTGGCGGTGTCTTACCCTTACGATCTGTCCAAACACCCACTGGAACACAACATGTTCTCGCCAACACCAGACGACAAGGTAAACAGGTTTCTTGAAACACATCATGTACATAGGTGAAGAATGTAGAGGACGTGTCACTTCTCGTAAGTTAAAAAAAGCAACGCTCGCAAGATTAAAAAGATGATAACTTTGCCTTGATAGTCTTTTATGTACAATGCCTAAATGTAGATTGAGTGTCATTGATACATGTGTGCTCATATTATATGTGTGTTGACATGACAGAGATGAGATTTGAGGCTTGAACCAGGGATCATTAGATTATATTATATGTGCTTTACCCCATCACCCCACCAGACCAACGCAGCTGGATTTTAACAGCAACAGCCACTGTGTCAGTTATAGATACAACCAGATTATAGAGTTTCATTAACATTAATGCAGTACTTGCAGGATTGTCGCTATGTTGTCGTGGAGTTGCTTGTGCGGTGCTGAGATCCCGAGAACGATGTCATTCAGAGCCATGCGTCTTGTAGGGTCACCCGTGGCGGTGAGGTTGAGGCGGAGGTCCCTGACAAAAAACAATTAGACCAAGACCTCAGTAGCAGAACAGGTGGACACTTTAATTCAACAACTCTGAACATGGATGAAGGCTGCAACAAATCAATTATCTCCAATTGTTGTGGTTTCCATACCACTGTGCTACTTAGAGCGCAACAACAAGCAAACAGCTACATCCAAACACGTGCTGAGGTTAATTGGTGATTCTAAATTGTCCGTAGGTGTAAATGTGAGTGTCTGTCTCTGAGTGTAGCCCTGTGATATTTAATACATTTCCTGTCATATTATGTATTCATCTGTCATAACACCCTGTGAGCAGGTGACTTGATTCAACCTCGAACAAAACAAGTGAAAACTAATGCACCTGTTTTTTATTTTGTAGGTTTTCAAACTTATTGCAAGAACGTATGCAAATGCCCACGAGACAATGTCCAATGAAAATGCACGGTGTCGTACTAGCAGCCAGAGAGGGATTGTCAATGGAGCACAGAGGTCCAGCTTTGCAGGCGGTGAGTTGGAAAATAAAGGGATTTCTGACCCTGGAATGGAAGTGTATTGTTACTCAGAGCCACTAGGGGTCGGTGTAAGACCAGTTATGGTGCAGAATGAGGCAAGCAATGCAGTGGGACATGTGAGAGGTTCAAGGGAAAGTTCAGTTAATTTTTTTAAGGATTTCTTGCTAAAGCAGCTTTGTTTTTGTCTCTGCTCAGGTATGCAAGACTTCAACTATCTTCACAGCAACTGTTTTGAGGTGAGCGTGGAGCTGGGTTGTGATAAATTCCCCCCCGAGGAGGAGCTGTCTATCGGCTGGCATCAAAACGGCGAAGCTTTGATCACATTCATGGAGGCAGTAAGACATTTAAATTCACACCTTGAGAGAGATTAGCGAAGACCTGTGCTGGTTACCAGTCCTTTTAATCATTTATCAGAACTGATGAATACAGACAAAGAATTTCCACTTGTCCTGTGGTGTTGTTCTTCAGGTCCATCGTGGTATCAAAGGCATCGTAAAGGATAAGCAGGGCTATGGGATAAAAGGCGCCCGGGTATCAGTCAGAGGGTTACGGCACGACATTACCACAGGTAATAACTACCAGGGTGCACCATTTTTCACTGATACATTTAGATCCATTTTCCAAGATCCTAGTGGCATGAGAATTGTTTTTTGTTACTTCAGCCACATTAAATAAAGTAAATACATGACCATAAAGTCAGGATTTGTAAGATAAAAGTGCAAAGAATTAAATATCTTGACTTTTAGACACAGCATCCTACTGCACATTTCTTGTAGTGCAACCCAGTAGCATTTTTTTTGTTATGTCACATTACCATTCCGATGGCCAAGAAGACTCCATGTCAACCACCACTGCACTATGGAAACTGCCCTTCATGTCAACATCTAAATTGTAATTTAAACTAGCAAACTTATCATATAATGAAAGATTCGATATCTCCCTTGGAAGTGCCTGAAAACCAGCTGTCTCACCTCAGCCACAGTTCAACTCTTTCTCATTCTGAGCTTGTCAAATACTTCAATTTTGTCAAAATTACTGGGATCTGAGAAGTATGCGTCTATTCATGTAGCCACTCATGTCAATATTAAATGTCAATAGATGTAGCGAAGATTTTTGAAGTTTAAAAGAGACTCATACGGAGGATGGAAGGATGAACTCAGGACTTGTACCCAGGAGAACTGTCACTCAGTTTTGTTCTGTTTTGTGACTTAAGTCTAATTTCCCCTCCATGTTTGGTTAGGTTTAACTACTAAAACTACATAGTTTGGGTTAAAACATACCTTTTCATGACATTAATCACATGCTACAAAGCAAACCTCTAATTACTTGACATGGAGTGACACTGAAGAGAAATCTCATGTTTCACTCATATTTATGACATTCACCAATTATTATAGGTTTATGAGACTACCCAGTGCATTAAAAAGTAGTGAATCCATAACGTTCACAAGTCCTGACAAAGTGGCTATACGTGACGAGTTGGGAATGAGACGGGCCTCCATGGTCTGTCATTTAAGGTCATTAAACCCATTTAATGAATGCAGTATTATGTCGTCAGCGCGATCCTTAGAGACTGGAAGGCTGCGTTACACCCATTCTGTCTGCTAGACACTTAGATCTTTCAAATTCCATGTTTGCAGTTTGTATTTTTAAAACTTTACAACACAATCCTACTCACAGATAGAAACATGTGAATTAAAAAAAATCCAAACACTCAGCTCTTTTCTCCCCTACCTAGCTGAAAATGGAGACTACTGGCGCCTCCTCACCCCTGGCATTCACATCGTCAGCGCCTCTGCCCCGGGCTACACCAGAGTCACGAAGAAAGTCCACCTCCCTGCTCGCATGCCCACAGCAGGCCGGGTGGACTTCGTGTTGCAGAAGGCTCCTTTAGACTCTGGCACGCAGGAGGAAGATCTCAACATCCCGTCCATGGGCACTTATGACCGATTTGACCCTTACAACCAGTATGAGCGCTACACCCTGATGAATTCTTTAAACCAGAACCGTGAGGAGAGAGCAGAGAAGCCCTGGTGGTGGAACTACTTTGCGTCGCCAGGAGGACCTGCCCCCACCTGGCTGCTTAAACTCTAGTAGAGCTTTAATAACAGAGGCAACAATATAAAGTTTCTCTTTACACAGCATACAGACCAACTGAAGCTATAATCCAATGACTAAGCTGCTTTTTATTGGCAAGTTTTATCCATATATGCTCAGTTTGCTCAAACTTGAGTTATAATGTAAGCACCTTACACACAGCTTGTGCCTTGACAGTTACATATCTTCAATTAATGACTATTATTATTGAATAAAATGTTGTAAAAGACTTACATTTGTAAATTTATAGCAATGTTTTTGTAGAAGTACTGATTTTTTTTTTAATGCCAAGAATTATTGTTGATTTATGTAGTCGTGGTTCATTTATAAGGTTTTTTTTTTTTTTAGGAGGAAATGAAACCAAGTGGCCACTAGGGGGCAGGCTGAACCAATATCTGACTAAGTTGCTCCAAACTGTGGAGTCTCAATATTCCTCCACACAGTGTAGGGAAAAAAATACTACTGTGGAGGATGATTAATTGTGTTGCATTTATTTCTGCCATTAGTGAGAAAAAGTACTGATTTAAAGAAGAAGAAAAAACAAACTTTTGAGAACATTAAGGTAATTTATGATAGTTATTATACAGATTACATGCATTGTAAATGTGAATTAAATGCAAAACCACCAATAATATACAGTGCTGTGCAATAGCAAAAGTCTCAAGCAGTAACTGTTTACACCTATTTCTTCTAGTCTTTTAAGAGGATAGTTTTAAAACTAAACTATCATGCAACCTGTGGTGCCCAGTCTTTTTTTTTTATTGCATGATCCCATAAAATAAAGCATTGTCTATCTGCAAACCTCAACATATGCAGCAGAGTTTTTGTTAGTGATTGTAAGTCGTCCCAACAAAGGGGGATTGCTCTTCTCTCATACTTTATAGACACTTGACATTAAATCTTTTCCCACTGAAAAAAAGCCAAACAATCAAGAACATCTGTTAACATACGACACAAGTTTGTCTTGCTATTGTCTTGCGACCTCCAGTGGTGGAATGCAACGAAGTACATTCGCTCATGTACTGTACCTGCACCTTACTTGAGTCTTTTCTTTTAATACTACTTCTTTTCAACTACACCTCAAAAGGGAAACTACAAGAAAAACTCCAACAACAATAACAGAGGTTGGATACTGGGTCCCCATAAAAGACAACTAGTACCAAACAAAGTAAAACGTGCAAAAGCATTGCCACTGCTGGAGTCCAGTGAAGTCCCCAATTCTCTAATCAAAACAGCTCTTAAGCTTTTTTATGTAAGGTCATGAAAGAAGCATGGGAAAAGCAAGTTACCCCCAGATAAAGGTCCAGGAAGTACAGCACAGAATCATAGAGAAACGTCTGCTTAGTGAACTACTTGATCCATGAAAAGTCAGTGAAAAAAAATATACCAGCCTTCTCAGGGGATTTACAAAACACAAACACATGATCTGGCACCAAACCCCATCAGCCAAACAACAGAGAAGAGACTTGCATCTACGCTACAGTAGGAAAATACTCTGTCCCAGTATCACATAACCGCCTTCGGAGAGCTTTTATCCAGCTGTCAGCTGGCATCAAAAATGCTGCAGGTACACACAGGATGTTTCAAATACTGGAATTCATTATGTGCTGTGCTGGAATTGCAGAGTCTGGGAATCAGTACTGTCATGGTGGGGTGGATGATTTATTTTATAAGAATGTTACAAGAGTATCTGCAATTACATCTGTGCAAAAGACTGAATGTCAAGTTGAACAGTGGTTATTCAGGGGAATATACAAGCACCTCTGCAATAAACTGCCAGAGAAGAAATTCAACTGGAGTGCTCCAGCAGAGATTCTTAAAGGTCACATATTCAAATGTGCAAACTGTGACAGTTCAGCCTTCGCTTTAGTAAACTCCTTCTCTGCTTAATTTAGCAGTCAGGTGAAAGTCAACCTAAAGTTCAGAAATTATAGTTTGTGTTCTGCCAGTTTGTGGCTAATTAATCATGTTGAATTGTTATTGGGGTTTTTTTGGGATTTGAATCAGCCATTTGATAACAGTTTTTAAAATGTCTTTGACTTCTTCACTGCTGTCTCCAGCATAAGCAATATTGTTGCACCACAATGTGGGGACTTTGGTTTTGAAGCTAACAGTCGCTTTTAAATATCTGCCTATACTGCAAGGTGGCGCGGTGGTTGGCACTGTTCCCTCGCAGCAAGAAGGTCGCCAGTTTGCATCCCGGTTAGGACGCCTGGGATCTTTCTGCGTGGCGTTTGCATGTTCTCCCTGTGGCTTCTCTCCAGGTTCTCCGGCTTCCTCCTATACAGTCCAAAAACATGTTGAGGTTAATTGGTGATTCTAAATTGCCAGTAGGTGTGAACGTTGGTTGTCTGTCTCTAAGTGTAGCCCTGTGATAGACTGGTGACCTGTCCGGGGTGTCCCCTGCCTTCACCCTGAGTCAGTTGGGATAGGATCCAGCCCCCCACGACCCTAGTGAGGATGAAGCGGTGTATAGATGATGGATGGATGGATATCTGCCTATAGGTTTTCCAGCTAGCTAGCAAGCTAAGAGCGATTACTAGGTGACATGTTTGAAAGCATATGTGCAGTTTTTTTTATTTACAGGAAATCCTACTGGTTATTTTATGCCACCCTATGTCTGTGTCCTACAGAGGTATACCTATCAAAATCAAGTTAACTTCATACGTAATGGCTGATGCATAAAGCTGAAGCAGCAAGAAGAAAAAAAAATCCAACCAGGGAGGACAAATGGGCTCTTGCATGGCAAACTTTTGCCCTACCTTGTGCATACCATTATAGGCACTGCACACTAGCAAGGACAGATGCTACTATTTCTGTTTCTTCAATGTTATTTTAATTGTCTTTCACAGGAAGTTTTGAAGAGAGACCTTGTGGACACGTGAACCTGCTTAAAAATTCTACAACTGCAACTAGAATGACTAAAAAATACAGTAAGCTGGCTGAAAATTAAGTTTGTACTGAAAATTTTATGGACACCTAACAACAAAAGTAATATTCTTTTGTTTTTCTCTTTTTGTTCCTGTATAATTTCATTGACCAGCTGACTGTTCACTCAGTTTGTCCAGTTATTTTGTGCTTTTGTTGAACTTGTTTTGTGGAAACCATGTTCTACTGTGACTACTCATTAGTTTTATGTTGATTACAAATGTCATTACAAGTCATAATGTAAGTAACAGATAGCTAGTTCAGGTGGACTTTTTTGTGACATTGTTAAATTTTCACGAGAAATGAGCGCTCCAAATGAGTACATCTGTCAGATATCTAAGAAGTTTTATCATATTTTATTCACCATATGTTATGATCTGATGTAAATGCCGCCACGATCTCCCTCAGAATGTACAAAATGAAGCTCAACTCTAAGTCAAACCACACACGGAGTCAAATGGGGTCATGCCACTCTTTGCTTTTTTAGTGAACAATCACATGCGGCCTGTTTGCTTTTCTTGGACAAGTTTCTTAAGCTGCCCATGTCAGGTGGAGTGTCAGGTCCCCAATTACTTCATAAGGCTGAGAAAGTAGCAAAGATCTGCCCTGAGCTGCCGTCCTGTGTTAGTGTCAAGCTGCTGGCAAGTAGGTAAGTAACACCTCCTTTCAGTTCAGTGAACCTGCCCTCTGTTCTCAAAGGACGTTTAATACGCTTACATCCCTCCTGAAGATCAGTTTGTAACTATGACTATTTATGAGCGCTCAGTCCACTGTGCGTGTCGCGCCACCAGGTGCCAGCATAACAGCAGGCGGTACTTTTATTTAATACTCTCATTAACTCATTTTATTATGCGACTGACGAGTGTGCTGCACTTTAGATATAAACTAAAGGGATTGGACCTCTCAGGTTTTGATGTTCTTCATATTTCCAGCAATTTTGAAACACAATAAATATTCAGAGCTGGAATCAGAGTACACTGATTTACTGTAATTTTAATTAATTAGCGACCAAGCAAATATTTACATGGCATTTTTCAAAATAGAAGTAGCAAAGAAGAACAAATGGTAAAGTAGGGATAGACAAAATTTTAATTTTGGTCATATTCAATAAGGGGAGATTTTTAAAAATAATTTGGCCTGATTGCTGATACCAATGTATGCTTATGTATTTTTTTTTCTCAACCAGAGAACATCAAGTCTTGTTATGAATACTCTGATTCATTTTAAGAAAATCTATGTCTTTACCTTATCAACATGTCTATATGGTATTTTTTGTGTGATAGAATACATGCCATGAGTGCCCCTCGGCGGGGCATTTCCACCTTGAGACTGCAGTTTACAGATCATCTCAAAAACATATTTCCGTAACACGCTTAAGGAACTTCTCCGTGCCAGCTTGCAGCATTGGCATCATTATTATTTATCAGAATATTTTTTTTCGTTCAATCATGCATGGCTGAATTACATCTTGCCATTTTGTAGCACAGAGTGGTTTTATTGTGTTTAGGTGGTATGTTGTGCTTAAGGTAGAGTGTATGGGGAGGTTCTGGATACAGAGAGCAACAATCTTCATTACTTTTAAGCCATTTTGTTGCTGGACAAGATTATTTTCATAAAATAAACTTCTAAATATGTTGTTTTGATGAACAGGGATGAGTTATTATAGCTTTAATGAAAAAGTTGACCTTAAAGACCTGATCTCCTAATACCGATAATGATGATGATGCCAATATTACTGCGCATCCTTTGTATAAGGTTAAGGTGTTTTTATTTGTCTCCCTTGAGAGAAATTTGTTTTAGACAGAGGGGTCTGCTGCACAGACAACACATACCACTCATATAGCCATAAAATAAGCATCCAGAATAAAAACAAATAGAAATACATAAATAAATAAGTGAAATAAAAGTGCAATGCACTATCACATTGCTTAAAAAAACAAGTGCAATGTGAAAAAATAAATACAGACCCACCCCGTACACTGTTACACACGTGTTATTCTGGTGCTTGGCGCTAGCAACTGGACTTGCTTGAGTTCCTTGAAGACGTTCCACCTCTCATCCAAGAGGCTTCATCAGTTCTGACTGACTAGTTGGGAGTTCCAGATACTTATATTCTAAAGGAGCCAATAACATCTGAGTTTCGGTTTCAATTGGAGGTTTGTTGCTCCTCCCCCTCGTTATATGGGTCATTAGTGCTCCCCCTGCCACAATGGGGTTCGTTAGGGTCTTTTGTGGCTAGGTGTGAATGTGGTTTCATCTTCCTGGGGAGAGTTCTTAGGACTGAATTGTAGACAGGTGAGAGATGATGCCTCAGACCTCCACCTCTGTTGAGGGATGGTCTTTCCAGTTTGACATAGATGGCTTCTTTCACCCCTCTCTCAAACCATCCTTGGCCAAAATCTGTATGTTGTTGTCTTCGGATGAGTGTCCTTGAGATGCAGGTGGTTCTGTCCTGAGGAGCTGGCTCTTCTGTGCTGAGCCATGCGCTTGTGGAGCGGTTGTTTAGTCTCCCTGATGTACAGGTCTGGGCATTCCTCGCTGCACTGGACTGCGTACACCACGTTGCTTTGTTTGTGTCTCGGTGTCTTGTCCTTAGGGTGAACCAGTTTCTGTCTCAGGGTGTTGGTGGGTTTGAAGTGTACTGGAGTGTCGGTTATCTGGATGACCTTCCAGCCTACTGTCTTTCTGTTCATCACCAGTAATCTGTTCATTAATGAGCTTCACTGACAAGAGGGATGAATGAGTGTTGGTACCTGTTGTGTTTACACAGTGGAACCCTATACCTTCTTCATGAGTGAAGTAGAGTGTATTCAGTGCATGAGAGGTGTCTGATATAAAATTGTCTGCCTGTTTGAGGGTCATTTGTTCTTGCAGGTCTC